ATGTTTCGGTGTCAGTGTCAACAATCTGTCAGACACCTGGTTATGACCCCCATCACATCACATGACCATCACAGCGGCGTCAGGCAGGCCTTCAACACTCAATCTCATGACCGCACAAACCTGAGTGAGGTTATTTGTTCAAATAAGAATCTTTTCCACACAACAACAGTCAAATCTGTCCCCAAAACATCATAAAAGCATATGAACACACACCTGGTGCACTATAGGCCTATCCCAAATATTCTGAAGTCATGTGATGTTCTGTGTGAGAAACAGAACCAAATGTAAACCATTCACTGAAAATCTATCCCTTCTGAGCACATCTTATTTTAATGTCCTGCAATTGTGCAAGACTTCTGATTCATTAGCTGTTAAAGGTAAACATCTATAACAAAGCTCAGTAAATGATACTCGCCCTACAAACTAGTGTGTTTATGATTACAATATTAAAAAGTCAAATTATATGATTTAAAAAAAAACACAGTTTGCAATATCAAGCAGCATGATGGACTGTTTTTGTACAGCTAAAATAACTGGAAGTGAATGAAACCGGAAGTCTCGCACATTCAAGCCACAAACTGGCCTCTTAATTAACTTAAAAATACGGATGATACTTTATGTGGATACTGTATTAAGTCTTTACGTTTGCATTTGTTCTTTATTCATGCATATATTCTGTTGTATTTCCCCGTCATTAAAAATAAAGAAAAAAAATCGACCGTGCGTATGCTGTATGCTCAACTCACGCATGCGCCTTGCTTTTTTGTGCACTAATTAGTTGGTCCACAAGGTGGCGACACTGGACCGGGCTATTGTTGAACACACTAAAGTGAAAAGATTAAACTTTCTAGTGCGCATGTGCGTGAAGCGCTTGTGTTTGCGCACGTTATGGGAGAAACAAACCTTTTCGAAATGCTGATTCAGTTGAACCAATTGCTTTGCAAAATATTTCACTATTTCGCTCCACTTGTAACGACCAGACGCTGGTGATGCCTGCTGGTCAAAACTGTGTAAATACAGCAAAAACTCTGGCTAAACATGCATAAAAACACCTTTTACAAAGCAATTGCAAATATTTTATTGAAAGTGTGTAATCTATTAAAGGCAATTAACAAATCATCAGATACTATTAACTATTAAGTGTTTGTATAATATGCGTTATTTTATTAATTTGCAGTGCTTGTTCTTTTTTGTTTTAATGAAGGTATTTGCTAAACATTATATAAATATATATGTATAACCATTTTATATACTTTAACCACAGACATTGGTTCAATGCAGATCGCCCCCTAGTGGCAAACTATTGACATTTCAAAACATTTCAAAGCCTGGTTTAATGAAATCACGTGACTTTGACAGTTTGCTACATGCTCAGTCCAAATCACTGCTTCAAAACGAGTGATTTGCAAAGGTTTCGAAGCATCATGAAGCAAACACGCCAAGTGTCATTAGTCAGGAAGTAACATATGAAACATTAAACATGCTCAGCAGCGACACAATCCAAACATTTCATTTGTTCACAATTATTCATTTCTTTGAAGGTTCAGAAGAGTCGTTAATATGGAAATCAGCTCGCATGCTAACGAGCTCTTGCTATCTGATTTGGAACACATCACTGGAGCATATTAACAGATCACTGCACACTTCTCTCTCTCTCTCTCTCTTTCTTTCTTTGTCTACAAACCTCACAGAACTATTCAGATAAATACATCAAAATCAACATGAAGCAACATTCACATTTTACCTAATGTATGTGATTTTATTGTGGTGATTTGATCATGTATGTATTCCAATGCTAAAATCTCTTTGTCGAATCTATCATTATTTGATATTATAGTTATATTATAAGCCTTTATTACATGTTACCAGTTAACTAGCGTTAGATTACAGTATGAACCAAAATAAGCTGCATTACCTACAGCGGCGTCCTAAATCACTGACAAACTATCTATTTGACTGGGTTAACGTTAGCATTAACTAGTAACCTGTGCAGCCTGGAAATAATACTTTTATTCATCAAGGAAGCATTCAATTGTTCAAAAGTGTCAGTAAAGACATTTATAATGTTACAACATTTTTCTACTTCAAATAAATGCTGTTCTTCTGAACTTTCTATTAATCTGTGAATCCTGAAAAATAAAATGTATCACAGTTTCCACAAAAATATTGAGCAGCACAACTGTTTTCAACATTGATAATAATCAAAAATGTTTGTTGAGCAGCAAATGATATTAGAATGATTTCTGAAGATCATGTGACACTGAAGACTGGAGCAATGATGCTGGAAATTCAGCTTTGATCACAGAAATAAATTACATTTTACAGTATATTCACATAGAAAACAGCTATTTTAAATTGTAATAATATTTCAAATTTTTTCAGTTTTTACTGTATTTTGGATCAAATAAATGCAGCCTTGGTGAGCAGAAGAGACTTCTTTCATTATTTTTTTTTTTTTAATCGTACTGACCCCAAACAACAGCACCCACATCAACATGATTTCATGTTGATTTTAATATATCAGGTCCTAATATTGGATTCATTTTTTTTTTTTTTTTATCGTACTGACCCCAAACAACAGCACCCACATCAACATGATTTCATGTTGATTTTAATATATCAGGTCCTAATGTTGGATTAAAAACAAGGCTAGCAGTGTCTCTGTGTGTTCTGCTGGTCTTGAGTGTTGATGTATGTGTGAGGTTTGAGAATCTTCTCAATAACTCTCTGGATCACAGCCAGACCAGCACAGACCCAAACCTCATCATAAAACCACAGTCGCATTTACTAATATACACCAAATCTGCTCTAACACATTTAAACCCTGTATTGAGCAGTATTTGTCTGACAGCAGATAACCTGGACGCTGACGGAGGAGGCTGCTCGTTACTCTAAAGAAGGTTAATCCATTTAACTCCTGCATATTGATATGCCAATCTGTCATCTTTGCAACACAGATTAAGATGTTTGTAAGAGTTTTCTGTCCCACGCAACCAAAACTCTCAAGATCCAAAAACGTAATAAAAGCATCATAAAACATATCCATAAGAATCGAGCAGAGGAACAGATTTAATTCACATTTATAAAGTGGAGAGTTCCGGTGCTTGATTCTGATTGGCTGAGCCACTTTCGAAGCTGTTGTAAATTACTCTAAAAACATACACCTTTGTTTACATTTGTCTGTTGCTTGGCAACGACTTTGTTGCAACCACAACTGATTCTGAGGAACTACATTAGCTGTGTCTCATTTAGAAGGCTGCGCCCTCTGGAGGTCGCAAAGCGATCATATCTCTTCACAAGACTATTAACGGATTAATAGAACGGATTAAACCGTTCAATTCTGACGGATTCGTTTTATGAGGCCTTTATGACCTTTTTGGATCTTCTAAGTGTTAGTTACCTGGATCTTTAATGGAGGGAGAGGAAACTCTCAGGATTTATTAAAAGTATCTTAATTTGTGTTTCAAAGATGATTGAAAGTCATAGTGGTTTGGAACGGCATGAGGGAGAGTAAATGATGAGAGAATGTTCAGAAAAATAAAGCGGTACGTACGGTGACTCCTCTCTTCTCCAGCTCCTGAAACACAGTTCTGATTGGACGAGAGAAGCACAGAGACAGCTGACAGCCTCTCTGCTCGGGGTCAGAGGGTGTGATGATGTGAACCGAGGGAAGTTGAATAATGGTTGTCATATGTTGTACGATGGTTGTTGGTATGTTAAATGATGGTTGTCGTATGTTGTATGACGGTTGTTGGTATGTTGTACGATGGTTGACGGTATGTTGTATAATGGTTGTTGTATGTTGTATGACAGTTGTCAGTATGTTGTATAATGGTTGTCAGTATGTTATACGATGGTTGTTGTATGTTGTACGATGGTTGTTGGTATGTTGTATAATGGTTGTCGTATGTTGTATGACGGTTGTTGTATGTTGTATGACAGTTGTTGGTATGTTGTATAATGGTTGTTGTATGTTATACGATGGTTGTTGTATGTTAAATGATGGTTGTCATATGTTGTACAATGGTTGTTGGTATGTTGTACGATGGTTGACGGTATGTTGTATAATGGTTGTTGTATGTTGTATGACAGTTGTCGGTATGTTGCATAATGGTTGTCAGTATGTTATACGATGGTTGTTGTATGTTGAATAATGGTTGTCATATGTTGTACGATGGTTGTTGGTATGTTGTATAATGGTTGTCATGTTATACGATGGTTGTTGTATGTTGAATAATGGTTGTCGTATGTTGTATGACGGTTGTTGGTATGTTGTATGACAGTTGTCGGTATGTTGTATAATGGTTGTCAGTATGTTATACGATGGTTGTTGTATGTTGTACGATGGTTGTCGGTATGTTGAATAATGATTGTCGTATGTTGTACGATGGTTGTTGGTATGTTATATAATGGTTGTCGTATGTTGTATGACAGTTGTCGGTATGTTGTATAATGGTTGTCAGTATGTTATACGATGGTTGTTGTATGTTGTATGATGGTTGTCGGTATGTTGAATAATGGTTGTCGTATGTTGTACGATGGTTGTTGGTATGTTGTATAATGGTTGTCGTATGTTGTATGACGGTTGTTGGTATGTTGTATTGGTATGTTGTATAATGGTTGTCGTATGTTGTATGACGGTTGTTGGTATGTTGTACAATGGTTGACGGTATGTTGTACGATGGTTTTTGGTATGCTGTACGACTATTGTCGGTATGTTGTACGATGGTTGTCATATGTTGTATGATGGTTGTAAATAAATTGTCAGTATGTTGTACAATGTTGTATGATGGCTGCATGTTGTATAATGGTTGTCATGTTGTACGATGGTTGTTGGTATGTTGTACGATGGTTGACGGTATGTTGTACGATGGTTGATGGTATGTTGTATAATGGTTGTCATGTTGTATGACGGTTGTTGGTATGTTGTACAATGGTTGACGGTATGTTGACAGATGGTTTTCGGTATGTTGTACGATGATTGTCGCTATGTTGTATGATGGTTGTAAATAAACTGTTGTCAGTATGTTGTACAATGTTGTATGATGGTTGTCAGTATGTTTTTATGAGTGTGCTGTGTGATGTCTGACCTCTAGACTGGCTTGTAGTGGACACACCAGTAAAACAGGCTGATTGGACAGACGGAATCCATTAACACCAGGCTGAAGCTCCATTTCTGCATGAATATTCATCCATCAACATTCATCTGAATTTTGACAAAAATCTATATCTAAAAGCATCTACAACATCTAAAGCTGCTTTGCAGAGTGTAATACAACTACATGGGTGTCCACAGGATGTCAGCAGAGAGCAGGCCGTGAGTTCCCTCAAAACTTACAGTGATCATCATAATGTTTGTGTCAGTGACTGATATTCCAGCAGGATTCTCATACCGTTGTTCATGAGGAATCTGGTCTTCAGGTTGTGTCCCCACCAGCCCATCAGACTGACACACACACACACAGATACACACACACACACAAACACTGCATGAGCATCTCATGTGCTTTATTTAATCTGTAAGCGTGTGTTATAGAGCATGTGTGTGTGTGTGATACTCACGTGGGTTTGACGCTGTGAGCGTGTTTCTCATGTATATAAGCTCCAGCCAGACCACCGGCCCCTGAGTTCACATACTGAATAAAACACACACTAAACACCACTAAAACTGATGCACCATATATTCAACACTAAATTTACAACAGGAATAAATAAAATTGAATTAATGAACAAACACAACACAGACATTGTTATACCTTATAAGAGCACCAGCACGCAAAATCCACATTCCAGTCGTGAAGTTGCAGTTCTGCGTTTCCTACGGCGTGTGCGCAATCAAATCCTACCAAACACCCCTGAACACACACACACACAGTGTAAAATATTTGAAGATCATTGATTGTTGTTTTCCTGTTTATTACTGTGAAGCTGCTTTGAAACAATCTGTTCTTTGTAGAAATAAATCCGTTCACTACAAAAATAAAGGTGACTTGCCTTGACATTCTGAAACTGGGATTAAAGCATGTGTGTGTATGTGAGCCAAATTTTTATTTCTAAGCAAAACATGAGATTTATAGTAGAAGTATTTTTCCATTTAGTTTCCCTATATGCATGTATAAAATATATTTTAAAAATTCAGTTTGAATATTTTAAGCCATGAACAAAAGCAACTAACATTGCAAACTTTGCATAAAAATGTTTGAAAGATTGTGTAGTTTAGTAATAATTTCATTGATTAAATTAACTACTCATCCCTTGAAGCACAGGTAAGGAAGCTGTCAATTCACAAATGTGATTTACAATATCTGACTCTCTTTAAAATGTTTTTTTTTTTTTTTTCAAAATATTCAGACAAACAGATCAGAGGTCAAACTTCTTATGCATCTATAAATCAATTACACCAACCCCAATTTGGGTTGCAAAGAGGCAAAGCATTTCCGTTAAATTTCCTGAAACTTTCCAAAAATGTCCCAAAAATTTCCGAAAGTTTCCAAAAAATCCTGGAATCTTTCCACAAATTTACCAGAAATCATCCACCTCTATGCAACCCTAACCCCAGTATGAGTGAACGGTCCCTACTGAGCCTGTTGCACTTCCCGTTTCCATGGTAACAGGAACTTTACTGATTGGTGGATCTCTTTTCTGGATTATGGGTAGTTAAGTTTGGTTGTTTTTTTTAATTGAAGTTGAAATCATACTCATATGTGTCTCGACAGAAGCAAATATAATCACTTAATCTCTGATGTCATGTTAGTATAAAAGTGACATTCTGAATTTTGTTAGTGTTCTAATGACATTTCACTGCGGTCCATGACAGATTCACCTTGGTGTGTCCTGCTCTGGTAATGGCCTCCATGTTGAACAGCTGACCGGTGTAATACTGAACGCCGCTGAGCATGACCAGAGCGATGGCGTCGCCCTCCCGCTCGATGACCGACACGATGTCTTCCGTCCTTATGGTGTCGTCACCCTGAAACAGCCAATCCACATGCTCACAGAGCACTTCCTGTCACACTGCCCACACTGAGAGGAAGTGATGTCATTACCTGTCTGGGTGTAATGATCAGCATGCTGTCGGTCACGTCCTGTCCTCTCAGCCGGATCTGAGATTCAATGGCGTACTGCACATTCACACACAAACACGGTGATATTTTAATGGCTAACCTACAGCCATGACTTATCCAGTAGAGTACAACGGGGCTAAAGGTGCGTTTGATATTATTTTAATCTAAACCACTAGATGGCACAAAAACATGGTGTAGCACTTTCCAAAACATCCGCTTTTCAAGATGCACGTGTATATTTGTCTGATCCTTGATGCGATCGCGCGCTGCAGCGAAAAGTTGATTCTGTGCTTACTTGATCTAATATTTTATGTTTTTAAAAATGTTGTAGATTTAAGTAGCAAATGAGAATCGCTAAAATTAATCCATATATTTTGAGACAAAGGTCTTTTTTCATGATTTTAAGTTTTGTTTAAGATAATTAAAGCAATAGTTTTTAAATAACGAAAGAATATGTAAAAGTATGGTATTTGGGGTAAAAAGCGTTCAATTATTATTGGATCTCATTCAATACTTTCAGAATCTTTACTTATTAAAATGATTGTGTTTCTGTGTTTTAAAATATATTTTTTATATTAACATATTTTAATGACAGTATATTTATTGAACAAAAATGTATTCTTTTATTTTTCAAAATAAGCAGAAAATAGTACAAACTTTGCTAAAGTGATTGTTTTGAACAAGTATTAACTTAG